AGATAAGGATTTTCCAGTTTTCAATCCTCGAGGCATTGAAAATTCTCAGGTATAGCGAGCATCTAGCTCCCGATATGAATCACGGCTCAGCCGCGTCTATTCTAATGGCTGCTTATGCTGTTGGAACGCTCCTCGCCTCTCTGATCAGCGGACCACTCAGTGATAGGTAGCGCACCTCCTAGGATGCTGTCGGAAGTAGTACTCGAGTGGTCTTCTCAGACTCGGTCGTCGTCCAGTTCTCCTTTTCGCGATGGGTATCTACACGTTGGCTCAGTTCCTCATGGCCAACGCTTGGGATATTGCAAGCTTTGCAGGCTTCCGTGCTATGGCTGGTATCTCAGCCGGTAATGATGAAAGTCCCGAGGATCGAACCACCTACCTCCCTATTGTCAGGTACTCGACCTGTGATCATATCCTTCTTGATTGACAGCAGTCGTCCGATCGATATGAAGCTGTATGGTGTGATCATGGGCCTCCATGTTGTCGTAGGACAGAGTATCGGACCTGCTATCGGTAAGGTTGTTTTTTCTGTTGTGGTATCTGATAGTCTACCCCTCTGATCTACCTCTCACGTTCCCGTCTGGTATATCAATAGTCTACCCCTCCCGTTGATGTCGGTCATTAATGAATAGGTTAGTTTGTAGGGTATGCGCTGCTTCAATGTTGTGATATTTCCGAAAAGTGTGGTATTCACTAGATTATCACTAGCGTTGTACTCCGTCAAAGCCGATGTCATAAAGGATGACCCTCTGATTGTCGAGAGCTCGTCGTTGTATGTTCAGGTGGAGTGTTGGCAACTGTCTCCTTATCCTTCCCATTCTACTTCATGGGAGTTGTCTCTGCTGTATTGTTCATTCTGGAACTCCTCTTCCTGCGTGAGTCGTTGGAGAAGGATGAGAGTGGAATGCCCATCAACAAGTTTGCCCATCCTGATGAGAAGGAGCCTCCGATCAACAAGTATCTCTGGCCTACCGTCGTGGTACTTGGTATCGTATCGTTCTCTGCCCAGTAAGCATTCCGGAAGGGTATTGTATTGCGCATGTGATCGTGTTCGAGCTATCACACTGAAAAGAATTCTCGCCGCTTGGAAACACATTTTGAGGACTGTTAAATAAGGAAATTCTGGGAAGCAGAATCGATTCTGGACCCGCATTTCTGGAGTGAAAATTGGTTGCAGAGTCGCTCAGGGCGTTAGCGATTAGCTCAGCAAACGTTGCGACCTCGCACGTCTATGCCGACATTCCTTGTTTCGCAGGTACGTTGGTATCAACTGGTCTACTGTGTTTGGTCTTTTGGGTGCGGATGAGTATAACTTATCCTCTTCTGAGAATGGAGGAGTTCAAAGTATTCAAGCCGTTGGAACTATCTTCACCAACCTCATCTATCTGCAGCTCACCAGTGAGTCGTCTGATCAAGTCAACGGTGTTTCGGCGATCATTTCTCAACTAGTTGTCGTTTATTTCCCTCAGAGCTTATTCCAGCAGCACTTCTGGGTTCACTTGGTCTGGTACTGACCATGACAATCGTGATCGTTCCATTCATCCACAGCTTGACTGGGGTCATCTTCCTCGGTATAGGATTGCAGGCTGAAAGTAAGAACGAACGTTCTCATGGTCTGGTATACTCTATGAGCTTCGGCGTATTCGCCTGTTTATTAAAATACGAGTACTCCACGTTGTTGTTGATGAATATCTCATTTGGTTGTGATTATCTCCTCGTCCCTTTAGTCGGCCTGTACTTCGCTGGCCAAGCCTACTTCACTGCAGTCATATCTCCACCTAAGAGGAGAGGTCTGATTAACTCCTGTGTTATGGCGGCCTCTAATATTGGTAGTATAGAAGTCGATTGCTGTCTACCGCCTTGTCATATCGCTGTGCTTGGGCTCTTTCTCGTCTGCAATTGGTGTTTTTAGGTGGACTGGTCGGGCCTCTGGTAGCTGGTAACCTTTACGATCTCAACGTGGCATATCCCTTCTATCTCAGTGTTATTTTCTCCGGCGTCGGCGCTATCTCTTGTAAGTTGCTCGTATTGTGCTTGCTATGTTGGGGGAGAATAGGAAAGTTCGTAGGAATCGCATTCGGCGTGAGTGGGTTACAGTTCTTGGCACGGGCCGCCATCGTCAGCGCTTGGTCGCTCGGTCGTCGGTATTTCAGCCGGAGTTATTCTCTTTATTCGCTCGTGAGGAATTCACAGTCCGAAATATTATACGTGACCGTGATCGTGTAATCTCGTGTTATTTCTTGAGGTATATTCGTCTACTTCGGGATGAAGCACCAAACGAATTTACTCGAGCATGATAATGGCGACTCTGATGAGGGCTCCACCTGTGGTGAACCCGACTTGTCTACGGAGGATACCGCCAGTTCTGTGGATTTGGAGGAGAGAGTGTGATGATTGTGAAGACGATAATTCTGCCATGCCGTTGTTTTCGTCTTTGTTATTGTTCTTCTTTTGAATGTCTCATATTAGCAACGTATACTGTTAAATTACTTCCCCGACGGGGTGCGTTTGTGCTATATTCAACAATTATGTGAACTCCTCTTAAGAGGATCTACTATTTTCCGACACGCCGTGCTCCCCTGTGGTATTGTTTATAGACGATTCTGTTTTTAGTTCTTCTCCCTGTTCTTCTTCTTGTGAATGCCTCATGGTAGCACCGTACATTTTTAGTTTCTCTCCCCGACGGGGTGTGTTTGTGCTATATTCCACAACTATGTAAATTCCTCTTTTAAGGATCTATTATTTTCCGACACGCCGTGCTCCCCTATGGTATTGTTTATAGACGATTCTGTTTTTAGTTCTCGTCCCCGTTTTCTCTCTCGAATGCCTTATGGTAGCAACGTATACTGTTAGCTTCCCTCCCCGATGGGGTGGGTTGTGCAATATTCAATAACTATGTGAACTCCTCTTAGAAGGATCTAGTATCTCCCGACATGCCATCACGGTGTTTCCCTATGGTATTGTGTATAGACGATCCTGTTGTTTGTTCTCGGTGTTCACAAGTGTCGGTCCTTCTCATTCTCATTGATATACCGTGCAGACGTTGTGTTCATAGTATGTCGTAAGTGGTCACTCGAAAAACAAGAGGTCGTTCTTACACGGGTATCCTTGTTACTGCCACCGTTGATCGATAGTTAGTCGCGAGGCGTCTACATATTGCCGTGGTGAGCCCTTCACCGAGAAGTCGAATTCCAGAGGAGATGCTCGAGGAGCAGCCTCGGGGGTCGTGAGCTTGGCCAGACTCGGTGAGTTCAATTCTCCCCTTCCTACGATCCACCGCGCACAAGGGCAGTTCTGTTACCACAATTCCCTATTTATTCGGAACCAGCATGGCCTGTTTGACCAAGTCTAATGAATCGAACTACTCTTCGGTGATGTGTCGCATTCAGCTGCATACGAATCGTGTGAACTATAGGAGCCAACGAGGAAGTTACTCTAGGTTCAGCTTAGTAAGTTGCGATAGCTGTATATTTCGTAGGTCACCACATGGTGATGTTGCCTGTCTATGTCCGAAGTAGAGCAGTCCATTTATGGTAGTTTCTCCATAGTTTCTATCAACAATATGGCTCACCAGTGGCATTGGAAGATATTGCCGCTTGGTGATGGAGGTAGCGATGGTCCGTTGCCCCCAAGTGAGTATTATAACCTCAATCATTGGAAGAGGCTGTTCTACCGCATTAAATACCGACCGAGACGGGTGGCCGATCTAGTCATGATATTCTTTAGCATCTTCCTAGAGTGGTTGGGGAGCACACTATTGGCACCCGTCACACCATGGTAATAATAATCTGTACTCGCTAGGTTGTGAGATCCGCTAGTGGCCGCGCTGTAGGAGTGTCCGAATGGTCACAACTGAGCTAGGGTCGAACTGGTAATTGTCACTACCACCCATACCACCATGACTTCAGAAAAAAACTCTAAAAAATTTTGGAAAAAGCGAGTAATTTTCCGCTCCAAGGTTGAGAGAAATATTTGGGAGCTTTCTGGTTACTGCTTCCCTCTATTTTCGAGTGACAGATTTAGTTGTCAATGTTGGTGTTTTCGATGCTGTATCTGTTATCGATAGGTACGTAGAAAAACTAGCACCAGATATGAACCAGGGAACTGCAGCGTCCATCCTGATGGCATCCTACGCTGTCGGCACGTTCTTAGCCTCTCTGCTCACTGGGCCGTTATCTGACAGGTACTCTCCATCTTTCTTATTTTTCTTATCAGGAAAGTTTGTGCGTTTTCTTCGACTCATCGTAGCGCCTTCGACTTCAGTGAATCATCCAGGTCGGCTTGTGTGGTGACTGTGAGTCTTCAGGTTGGGTCGGCGTCCTGTATTCTTAGCGGGAATGACAATCTATACAGTGGCGCAGTTTCTAGTGGCTAATGCATGGGACCTCACCACCTTCGCTGTGTTCCGGGCAATCGGCGGGACTGCTGCTGGTAGTAGTGAGGGGCTCTCTTTTGACTCTTTGTTCGCAACGGGGGTTTGCTGTTGTAAATATGGAATATAATCTCTATCGATATCAATGCGCTTGGTTTCGCCATGGGGAAGGAGGAAACAATGCAAACGATATATCGTTTGTTATGAAGTTCATTAATACTTCTATTTTAGCTCAATATAATCGTGCGTGAAATATTCACATTCTCGTATTTCTTCAACAGTTCTCAATGATATGATCCCACATCAGTAGAATCACCTCCACGTATGCAGTGGACTCGGTTGAATCACCTCTTGCCCTGAATTCCTCCTAAGTTCTTTCATTCTTCCTATAATTCGATTTCAAATCGTGCGTGATTGTGTCCCTCAAGTCCTAAAGATGAGATGTGTTCTTCTGCGATTCTCTCCAACGTAGTCATCAGAGCTACTAAGCTGTCCGTAGAACAGTAACTCTGCGTGCGATATATCTCTCATAGTGTTCGCTCCTCGTCATCTGATCATAGCTTTCCCGATAACATGATGGTGGTTCCCCCTTTGTAGGGGTGATGCTAGAGGATCTGATGTTGATATTATAGATATTAGCACAAGGGCCAACTTGGGAGTCGGCCTATACATGATTCACCTTTGCCGGATTATAGTTGCCTTGAGTCTTAAGGAATAACTCTTCCTATTATCACGCTCGATTACGTAGTGCTGGTAGTCCGAGTGTGAATTGTAGTCGGAATTAATAGCCCATTTATTCAATTCTGACCAACTAATTTGGAATAGAGATAGTGGCGAGAAAGGGCCACTGTTGAACTCATTGAGCCGGAAAGCGTTGTAATGTACGATGTTGCTTCAGGGAGCCGTCCCGTAATCATCGCCTACCTCATCGACAGTAGTAGGCCGGTAGACATGAAGTTGTATGGTGCCTTTCTTGGCCTATCGGTGGTCATAGGACGAAGTATTGGCCCTATTATAGGTAGGAGTCTCTATACCTTCATCACAAGTTTCTATCGTTTTCTTTGTTCCTCTCCAGGTGGTGCATTAGCCAGCGTATCTCTGTCCTTCCCGTTCTACTTCATTGGCGTCATCGCGTCGGTGTTGCTTATCCTCATGTTCCTATTCCTAAGAGAATCCCTAATTAGAGACAAAGACGGCAATCCTATCAGACCTGTAGGGGTGAGCATGAAAGACCCGCCCAGGAACAAATACCTCATCCCAACGGTTATGTGCCTATCTCTGGCATCCTTCTGTGGACAGTAAGTATTAACTGCGTCCTATTCTTCTTTAGTTTTGGTAGTGACTAGAGTCTTGTTCAATATTATTCGTGGTTCATGCCCGGCAGTCGAGCTCTTCGCTCGATTTTTTCCCTGCGATAATTTCCATATGAATACCTCAGACGTAATCTGGCATCAAGTTCGTTGATCGTTTCTATGACCAGTGCGTACCCAATCCACTTCCTCGTCTTGGTGCTCATGATGAGTTTTCCTCTTCTCCTTAATCGTTCTGATGTTCATATGTCATATTATGTCAAGTCCCACACTTCGAGCTTTAGTGCATTTACCTGCTAACTTTACCTGCTTGTCCCGTAGGACTATCGGTATAACTTGGCAGACCGTCTTCGGACTCATCGGTGTGGATTATTACGGCCTCACGACTTCACAGAACGGCTCGGCTCTGGGCGTTCAAGCAGTGGCTCCTGTCGTGATGAACCTCATTTACTTGCCGATCACACGTAAGTCATCTCTAAATTTGATCACTGCGTTGCGGTAAGAGGCCCTCGGCCTTAGGAACTTCTCCTTGAATAATGATTTCTAATGATGTTGAAAGGACAGCATGCCGAAGTCGTTGATTCATATTTTTCGTAATTTTTGTGGTATGAATGCTCATGTTCAGTCCTTCGCGATTTTCATCCATGGTCTTAGAAGTACAACTTATTGCTTTAATATTTCCATTCGGCGGATCTGACTAAAATCTTCAGCTCCTGCACTTGAACGTACTCCCTCCTTTGACATTTCTTTCTAAGTTTGTCTCAGCTTATCCCAGTCGGTATTCTTGTGTATGTCGCTTAGTCGACGTCGTCGACTCGACGATGATAGTGTTTCTCAGACTTCATTCCTGCCGCGATTGTGGGTGCCATCGGAATGCTCATCTCGATGATTATAATCGTGGTGCCATTCGTCCACAATCTGGCAGCAGTCATAGTTCTTGGTCTCTGCATGCAAGCTGGAAGTAGGAGTATAGTTGAGGGCGTCACTGACAATGTCTCCTTCACCTCAGCATCGTTGTATTTCGCTGGTCAAGCCTACTACAATTCTGTTATTGCCCCTCCAAAGAAGAGAGGTCTTGTCAACTCTTGTGTGATGGCATCGGCAAACGTTGGTAAGTCAGCAAGATGTTTTTCCACTGTGTCATGTTATCGTCAGGTGGGATAGTGGGACCGTTGGTCGCCGGTGATTTGTATGATCTTGGTTTGTTCGATCCATTTTACTTCAGCATTTCCCTATCCGCCACAGGGTTCACAGCATGTGAGCTGCTGAGTTAAATGATGGTGTGTTGCTGCTGACCTGCCTTCATTACTTCAGGCATCGGCATCTTCCTTGGGATGAGATATCAGTTGAATCTCTATAAATCGGTGCAGACTGCCTCTCCGATCACGCCGAAGTCCCTACAGACCCCGCCAAGGCCTGAGGGTGATATCGACATCACCAGTGATCATGAAACGGCAGCGTCGCCTTGATCATCGCGAGCTTAGACATCTGTTGCATTTGTTTGAAAGGCTGTCCCTTTGTGTGCTCTTCCTTGCAGCTTTCTGAATTCGATAACTGCCCAGGTTTTGGGTGCCTCCCCCGTTTGTGTGGAGGCTCGCTCATTGTTTATACAGTTTCTCGTTTTAGTGTTGTTGTGGTTCCGCAGCTTTACCACTACCTCTGTGGAGGTGACAAAAAAAGACACCCAATGATGTCTCTGTGGGACTCACGATTGAGTTCATTCTGATCAATCATCTACACAATAGTGGTATTACTAACCGTATAGCAAAGAGTGCCAGGGTCACGCACGGTGTACTTCATCGTGAGGATTAGGAAGCGGAACGGGAGTCTAAATGAGCTGAGATGAGGGAGAGCTGCAACAACACTCTTCCCACCCCAGTGGTTGATTGATAGTCGTGTTAGCCGAGGCTCAAATACTACTTGACAAGTAGTGCTGACTCTATATTCCATGAAGCTCAATAGAGTACATGGCTTATCTCGAGACGAGATAACGGTAGCAGATAGCGAAACCAGTACGTCACTTCGCTTGAGAAATGAGAAAAATGACAAGCTTAACGACTATCTTGATGACGCGTTGAGCTCATCCACCGGTAACATGCACGCGCACGGCGAATTCCAGACACTCCTTTGCCAGAAAGGTACAACGTGTCGACGAATATGCTATATTTAGGTGGTCGAACGGAGTCGATTCACACAACACCAACAACAGCTATCGGCTACACCAGCTACAGGTCAATCATTTAAAGAGAATACAGTTCATCTGATCGCACGGAGGAGACAGTATTTGTGTGACTCACCATGACAGAAGTAGTTAGCTGAGGGGTTCGTCAGCGTGAGAGTTCAGTAGAAGTAACGCCATATATACACAGAAATACGAGCGGTCCAGCGATCTCGATGTTATTCGGCGACTCATCGGGAAGTCGGCGAGGAAGGAACATTCTCCTCCAGGGTCGAACCATGATTTCTGGGTTAGTTTTTTGAACCGCTCTGACCGCACGGCTGAGTTTTTGGTTCCTATCGCGTGCTTAGTTGCCCTTACCTCTGTTCCACCATGGTTGAATTATGGAGTTTTCTGCTCATCCCGGACAGGCCACGCAAGGGCCCTCTAACTGATGAGGATTATTACAACCTCAAAGCGCCTAGTAGGTTGGCGTACAGACTGAAGTACCATCCGAGGCGGATTCTGGACCTGGTCCTTATCTTTGCGAGTTTGTTCCTCGAGTGGCTGGCCAATACTATGCTGGCACCAGTGACGCCTTGGTGAGCTTTCTGCAATCAATGGTGATTGACTTCGCGGTTTTGACAGGTACGTTGAGAGACTCGCTCCTGAGATGAACCCAGGCACGGCTGCCTCCATACTGATGGCATCATATGCAGTTGGCACTTTCTGTTCATCGATGGTTACCGGTCCGATATCAGACAGGATAGGGCGTCGTCCCGTCATCGTGGGCGCCATGACAATATTCATGGTCTCGCAGTTCCTTGTAGCCAATGCGTGGGACCTGGGAAGCTTCGCTGGCTTCCGCGCTATGGGAGGTGTCGCTGCTGGTAATCACTTCAACTTGAAGGTCTCTCGCTAACAGGGATTCTTCCCAAGGTACCCGTCCGGTGATCATGGCGTTCATCCTCGATAGCAGTCGATACGAGGACATGAAGATGTATGGTGTTATGTTTGGATTGTGTGTTGTGGTCGGCCAAGCAGTCGGACCAAGCATTGGTAAGGCTCGCAAGGATAGCTGAGCGCGATGTGGTTGAGACTTTCGTTTTCTATTTTCCTTTCTTTCCAGGTGGAGCTTTGGCCGAGATAACTCTGTCCTTCCCCTTCTACTTCGTCGGTGTGCTAGGAGCGATCCTTGTATTGCTGCTCCTGTTGTTCCTCACTGAATCGTTGCATAAAGATGAGAACGGCATGCCTATACGAAGAACGGGAGGACCTGAAGTCGTCATGGCTAAGAACAAGTTCCTGTGGCCAACGGTCGCCTGTATGGCCTTGGCAGCTTTCGCAGGACAGTGCGCACTCTGTTTGGCCCTTCCGACTGTCATTCAGCTCATCTTTAGGTATATAGAGATCAACTGGTCTACTGTATTCGGCCTGCTAGGCTCGGAGCAGTATCATCTCAATCCTTGCCAGAATGGTGGAGTTCTCAGTATTGGTGTGCTTGCGATGATTGCTGTGAACATTGTTTACGTGCCGGTTACTCGTGAGTGACTTTCATGGTACTTCGAAGTGTAGGTGGACGTTGTCCATTTTAGGTGTTATCGAGCCGGCTCTGGTGGGAAGCATTGGTCTGTTCGTTTCTTGCCTTATCGTTATCGTTCCCTTTATACATAACCTGGTCGGGGTTATTTTCCTGGGCATGGCTATCCAAGGAGGAGGTAGGGCGTGGGGATTGAACCTGGCTCATCATCTAGGCGGATATGCTCCCTAACCGATTGAGCAATTCGTATTTTCAGCGATGTGTTACTTTGCCGGTATGGGGTACTTCTCGGCAAGTGTTTGCCCCCCTAAAACGAGAGGACTCGTCAACTCTGTCATCATGGCCTCTGCGAATTCCGGTGAGTATCCCGCTCGAGCGTATGCTGTTGTTGTCATTGTCGATATTGCTAGGTGGAATTTTCGGTCCATTCGCTGCCGGTACTCTGTACGGCTTGAACACAGCCTCTCCGTTCTACCTGTCTGTCGGTGTCTCCTGTCTCGGAGGCCTAGCCTGTAAGTTGTTGACGATTCGAGAGCATTTACGCTGTTGCTGGACGGATCGAATTCGCGGCCGCAGTTGTGATCGAAGTCCGTTTCTTAGGTTTTGGTATCCAGATGGGTATAGCATATCAGTCGAAGTTAAATGATGATGCTGTAGAAGGACTGATGACTGATGTTCATGACGATCAGTCTACTACTCGCACAGTTTCGGTTTAACGCGTAAAGACTTAACATTCTCCCTAGTGCGGTTGTACACCGCACCAATTGATCCCCTTCATTGGAAGGGTGGTTCATTCGAACGGCGTTCGCTGTTCGGTTATCATGGAAGAGTTAGCTTCCACCGTTCCCTTAGTTGCTGTCTTTAGTGAGGACCATCATCCTCGAACCGCTCATTGGAAATGCATGTTGAGTTTGTCCATTGATCACAACAGTGTCCGCCTACTCTAGTCGATTGGTACATGCCACGGTATTGCGGGAGTATGTGTACTTTATCATTTTCATTGGAGTTGGCCTTCCAGTTGTCCCTCTTGGGTGTAGCGACTTCACCATTTGGTGTTCTTGTCTGCCATCATGGTGGCGATGAAGAAATTCTGGAAGATATTGCCGCTCCGTGATGGAGGTAGCGATGGTCCGTTACCCCCAAGTGAGTATTATAACCTCAATCATTGGAAGAGGCTGTTCTACCGCATTAAATACCGACCGAGACGGGTGGCCGATCTAGTCATGATATTCTTTAGCATCTTCCTAGAGTGGTTGGGGAGCACACTATTGGCACCCGTAACACCATGGTAAGGATGGACTCGCAATGCGATGCGTCCATACCATATCACTGATCCATGCATCAGGTACATCGAGGATCTAGCTCCCGATATGAACCAGGGAACAGCCGCCTCTATTCTAATGGCTGCCTATGCTGTGGGGACGTTCCTCGCCTCTCTAGTCACCGGACCACTCAGTGATAGGTAGCGCGCCTCCCTGGAACTAATACTCGAGTGGTCTCCTCAGACTCGGTCGTCGTCCAGTGTTTCTGTCGGCAATGACTATCTACACCGTGGCTCAGTTCCTCATGGCCAACGCTTGGGACATCGGCAGTTTTGCCGGCTTCCGTGCTATGGCTGGGGTTGCCGCTGGTACTCCAAGGGGGACTTCATCATTCTATGTTTCCGGGAATCACTACGTGGGGACGTACGCAAAAGTCCCACTATAGCCCAGATATTTACGTGACGTAGGGCCGCCTCTGCAATGTGAGCGATCTTGATTTCTGTGAGGTATTGCGTATAACGATAGCTATTACTATTATGGTTGTCCCGTGTAAACTATACAGCGTCAGTGCCAGGATGCTTGAGTGTTCTCGAAGCGGCTCGGTGTTGTCTCATTAGGTACTAGGCCTTGTATTATGGCGTACCTTACAGATAGTAGTCGGCCTATCGACATGAAGCTCTATGGTGTCTTCATGGGCTTGTTTGTGGTGGTAGGGCAAAGTCTAGGACCTGCGATAGGTGAGGGTTGGAATCATTCCATAACCGATCAGGACTTGATATTGCTGTGGCTGAGTCCATAGATCTATAGCTTCACTCGATGAAATTCCATCAGCCAATGTTTGTGATTAGAGCGGTGTCAATTCTTCTCGTTTCAGGTGGTGCTCTAGCCAGCGTTAGTCTTTCCTTTCCATTCTACTTTATTGGTGTTATCTCTGCGATTCTACTGGTGTTTATGTATATCTTCCTGAGGGAGTCTTTGGTGAAGGATGAGCATGGTATGCCTGTTAATCGATTTGCTCGCCGCCCGGAGGATAAAGAGCCTCCAGCTAACAAATACCTCTGGCCGACTGTTGTCTGCCTTGCTATTGCGTCCTTCTCGGGACAGTAAGTTGGGAATTCATTAACGGTTCACTGAGACACTTTAGAGTTGGTGAAGTAGGAAAAATCGTGCAGAACAAAAGCGTTAACCTGTGAGTGGATGAGCGTGTGCGGCGCTTGAACCGCCGCTTATAAAAGTAGATGCGACTGCTCGTTGGTTTGCCACTCCGGTTTATAGAACGATAGAGGAATCGTGAATGTTATCGCGACATCGTTATAATGCCTTTGTGCATCACGAGCTGCGTCCGTGGAGGTCAGATCGAAAGGCGCCTTACCAATTCCCTCCTTACTCAGGTACCTCCAAATAAACTGGTCGACTGTCTTCGGTCTAGTAGGTGCCGATCAGTATCATCTATCAACGTCGGAAAACGGCGGAGTACTGGGCATTCAGGCTATAGCATCAATCGTGGTTAACTGTATTTATCTGCCTTTAACTCGTAATTGTGCCGCTCGAGTTCAACATTTTTATGTTCTTCTCGTCAGATTTGCTCGAGTCGGCGTTACTCGGCTCGATTGGGATGCTCATATCCATCGGTATAATTGGTGTTCCTTTCATAGACAACCTCGTTGGAGTTATTTTCCTGGGTATGTGCATCCAGGCTGGAAGTAAGGATGGACGATTGTGTATTGGCCGTCATGAATAGTGTATGAAAGAAGCTATTGTTTCCCACACTGCATTCGAGGCGAGGACTGTGGAACTTAAACAGATGAAGAAAGGCTTCCTGCAGCATCGAATCGTTCACGCTAATCCCAAACGCTTCTAGTGTGAACTACCATCGTTTATAGCACGGATTGTTTTCCAACTTATCGTTTCCCAGTCTTCGTCACTCTTATGCTTATCTCTCTCAGCCGCCTTGTATTTCGCTGGTATGGCGTATTTCAACTCGGTAATCGCACCACCAAAAAAGCGAGGTCTCATCAATTCCTCCGTCATGGGTGCTGCCAATGTCGGTAAGTATATTTTCTTCATGTGTTGAATCGGACTGGACTTTGAATGATGCATCTCTTCTCAGGTGGCATCGTGGGGCCGCTGGTGGGTGGTGATCTCTATGATCTTGATCCGACGTATCCATTCTATCTCAGTGTTATACTATCTTGTGTGGGTTCACTTGCATGTAAGACTCCGCACTGTAGATTGCTGTCTATGGATTAGCACGAGTCGCTCAGTGAGATATTCAAGTAGCGTATAGTTGGCGGAATTATTCTACCGTTCGAACTAACTTGAATTTACGAGCAACTCAGTCGCTTCCCTCATCTCTTTTTCTTCCCCAAATGGGAATGGAAAAATAACGCCGTTGTCGCTCACAATCAGAGTGATGTCGAAAGCTGTCATCGTCAGAGGACCGCTTTTTCACCAGGTCTTGGCATTCACTTCGGAATCGAATATCAATTGAAGCTGTTCAAAATGGCAGCCGCTCCAAACACCTCAACCGAGCTGGTGGGAGCCGCTAAGAGACAGCCGTCCAATCACCAGGCTACAGACGCTCAGGACGTTGCCTCAACAGTTGAGGAAGAGTCTCGATCTACAAACACTGCGGTTTGAACGCGCTCATCGTCGGGTATTCGCAGAGATCTCGTATGATGCAGTGGAGCTACTGCTGCTTCTGGGCGCTTTAAACGGAGAATTCTCAACTGTGTTTTCTCACCGCTCTTGATTTATGTAGTTTTATTAGCCAATACTATTCGCTGTTCTTGTCTCGTTGCAGCTATAAAATGTGCAGCTTCGTACTCGTTCCTATAAAAAGGTTTCATTCCCTCCCGGGGGTTGGTTTTGGGCTAGTTGTCAATTCATTCGTTTTGAGGAGCTGAACGATCAAAGTTAACGTACTCATCCCTAAGGATGTATCAGGCAGCGAGCCTACGGAGCAGGTGATCATAGATTCGAATCCTGTATCGGGTATGTATTTACTCTTGTTGGCAGCAACTGATGGGAAGGGAACCATTCACCGTTGCGGGACCCGCTCGATGGAGTGCCAGATGACCCGTATAGATGATTTCAACTACCTCCATGCAGGCTTGTCTTAACATTAACCTACACCTAATAACTGTAACAACAATCAGCGGAAGTTACCCATCTCCTCCATCAATGATGAGCCACCGCTGGAGTGGCGCCATGCTGCAAAAACCGCACCACAGAATCAAAGCGTTGTAGTTCCTATGCAGCGCCGTCGTTCTCAGCCCACTAGCGCCAAAGATCCTCATGCAATGCATGATATGCATTCCTTCCTCCTTGCTATCAACACTCCACCGTTGCAACACTATATGACAACACAACATCGAGCACATTATGAATGAATGAAGCGATAGACCCTCATAGGGCAGAACGACTGTCATGATGACAGTCTCATGGATTAGTGTGTTCAAGTGGTCGTAGAAAACCAGCGGCTTCCTCAGGACTTAGCTCGAGTATCGTCAAAGACTCTCGTATAGCCTGCGAAACCAACACCGATGCCGTGTTCTAAGAAACCCGTGCGGGGCCGGCACTGCGGATTCTTCTCACTTTTGCGAGAAGATCTTCACCCCGAACTGAGTTGCTATCAGTCTGCCCGAGTGATGCGAGGGTTATCCTGAGGAGGATAACAAGCAGCGCATTCTGTGGAGAAGGCTGAATCCATTCCCGACTTACATATGCAAGTCGGAGTCATTTTCAGCTGATCCTGATCTTATATCTCTACTAGTCATTTCCAACACGCTGGAGAGGTCTGAGTTCTCTGCTCCATGCAAGTGACCTGCTTCGCACGACTTACTTCCCACCGTGTCTGAAGCACAGACAGCCTCAGCCGAAGAAAAATTTCTCAGAGCGGTCATCCCTATCGAACTAGGCTCCCTAGTGTATTTACCACCACTACGACGGACGTTGACAGTATGTCCTTGACAGATCGACTACTGCAATGTTAAAGGATATACGAGCCTGATTACTGTACGCTCACCGCACGAGAATACGACGTCAATGGCATCGAGTTGGCAGTAGCATTCCGATGAGCCCTCGGTACGCGGAGCTCTATGTCTCTCTTTCCAATGATGATCCACGCTGTGACGGGAATTCCGTCGGCCGGACAATACTCGAGGGCTCCGTTTGCGGGCTTGTCGATCGGTGCGAAACTGCGAATAATAATCCACCTGGAGAATCGCCACGAACAAAGACTTACTGCATCTTCAGCCCGTCTCGCTTCTTGCTCTCTCATCATCTCGACTTGCGAGCTCACCTGGGCATACTGATCATAGCCATCGCAGCAACTATCTCCTACTCGAGTCAGATGCACTACACAGGTTGGTAGAAATCACTGCTGCCGATGAGTTCAAAGCTGACACTGTCGACTACTTCCCAGAATAATTATATAAATAAACATGTGTTAATAGTCTATATATTATAGACATATAATAATGTTATAGTAGTACATATAGGTGATATACGATGTAATGATATGAATGTATGGTATAATGATAATCGATACATAAATATATAATTATATAAACATAAAAAATATAATGGAGTTTCACAACCCGTTTTACGTGAAGTGGCGTAAAACTCGGTGAAAAACGCGATATTCGCGGCCTGTAGTAGTCGTAAAATATGTTTTTCACTGATGTTTTTTCATATCACTAGGGTGAAACTCCAATAATATACAGTTAGTAATTTTATAAAGACCATGAATTCAGCAGTCTATAAGCTAGAGGAACACCGAGTTCTCCCCAGTTCACATAAACGCTAGCCAGAGAAGACCTCGGCAGAGAATGATCACATGAATGTCACAAGAAGATCTACCTCCACGGTATGAAGGGAGGCTATCCTCACTTACTTTCTCAAGCTTTCGTGTCGTTACTTCTAATTGTCGCTTCAAGCGCTCGGTCTCACTTCGTAACCTGTTCTCCTTCTCCTTGGCATCCTCTCCAGCCCGATTAGCTATTGCCAACGCCTACAGCCAGTGTTGGAATATGTGTTTAGTTTTCCCAGCATAGTTCATGAGTTTCTCCGTCACACTATGGGAAATTACACGTGTAGAAGTGTACAAAAACCGACAATATATTCCCAAAATCCCCTCAGAATTCTCATATTATCACCAACACACGAAGTTGACCATGTGCATATTTCACCACACCGTCCACAGCGAACATGTCTACACTTCATGGACAAATTCATTATAAGCACCGACTATACTCTACCTCTCGTGCTTCCATGGCTTTGCTTTTCATCTGCTCAGCCATCCTCCCCTGACGCTGAGCCTCCATCTTGACGGTCTTCAGTCTCGCCTCAAGGTCACTTATCCTGGATTCTGCTTCCACCATTTCACATTTCTTCGCGGAGATATCTCGTCGCAATTCATTTATAATTCCCTGAACATACAACTCAGCTCGCGAGCTGCAATCACTCCATCCGAGAATGCACCCACTTCACGTGATCTTAGGTCCTTCCGACACGACTTTAGTTTGCTCAGCAGCTCGCCATCGACCTCATCCCTCTTACTGTCCACCGCGTTCTACACATAACTCCTCTAAGAAGAAACATCTATCGTAGCCTACCTCAGCATCCGATAAGGCTCGTTCTTTCTCCTTCAGAGATTCTCGGACAACTTTGAGCTCTTCTCGCAATGCGAGTATCTTCACTTCCTGTTGGCTGAAATCAGGGCCAGCTCAATGATTCCAGTCAAGGGATCTCGGAAAAAAGTCCACAAGTATGCGCGTACCGGAATCACTCAAGCGCTGCCGACAACCCTACTTAGCCTTCTGCTTTGATCGTCGCAATTCTTCCACCATATCAGCCATCTCACTCGCCAACTTCACTTTAGCGTTGCGTTCACAGTCTATCACCTGAGTTCATCACTCGACACAAGGCGAGGTAATGCTCCTAAATAGCATGTGAGTATTCCAAAAACCTCTCACACGCCGATTCCTATATCATCCTTCTTGCCTTGCTCAATCGGCCGATCTCCTCATTAGCAGAGGCAAGTCTGCGACTCGTATCAATTCGAGTAAGTCGTTTGTCCTCCCGACTCTGCGCCAGCTCCCTTTTCAATACCTCCGCTCCGCTACGCAGATTACCGATTTCCTACACAACGAAGTGCCCAGGCGATCACATCTACAAAGCCGACTTGAATACCTCTCTAAGGGCCCTGACAGTCTCAACATGCTTTGGATTGCCCAACGACGGCTTCATGGCATGCCTCGGGGCTTGAACCTCAACATTCCCTCTCACTAGACGGCTACGAGGCGGTGACGATGATTGCGATCGGATCAGATTAGCCGTCATCCTCTGACACATGAGGACCGACTCAAATAGAAGTCGACCAACAGGAATGTATCGAATTTTCATAGGCTGTGATTCGGCTCAGTCGACGAAGAGTACGAGTGAAGTAGCATCGCTTTGATACCCATGTTCCATACACAGAGTCTCATATATGAGTACTCATGCCTTGGTCGGGAAAGGCATATTCTGAACGTGCAGAAACCGTCTGTCAAATCTTGGTCCGAGCCGAATCGACGCCCCAGTTCACCACGACTTCACATAATTCATGCATTCCCATTGAGGCGACTATCAAGGCGAGCAGCTCATTCAGTTGCTCGCTATTCGTAGCTTCATCCTATAGTATTGTGAGCATACCGTTTGCTATAGTCTGCTTGAGCCTATTTGTATTGGACTCTAAACCATCAACAGCAACAGCAACTTGGCGCCCTCCTCTCACCTCTGCCTTGCCAAGTACAGCCGCCAGCCTGTCTGTCATCCCTCGTTCCTCGACACTCATACTGCTGGGCCCCACTGGGCGTCGTATAGTCTGCACTCCTTTACTACGAGACTTTAACTGACCTTCTGCCACTGACAAGCTCGACTGTAGCTCCTGATCAGCACCAACATCCGGCATCACCAAACTTGACACTTAACGTCAGTGAGAGAATATATATGTTTGCTTTCCTCAACTCATGTAATACACAAATCCGAGTAAAAAGTGGAAACGTAGTTTAGTATTTCCCGGAATTTCCTCAAAATTTCCATTTTGGCACCAACATGTGTCACACATGATGTGTGGTTGACAATGTGTATATTTTACCGCACCGCTCACCGTTACCTCAACCCTCTTGTGGAGGCTCTGAATGACTCGTTGATGCTGACAACAGTTGCGCTCGCTTGTGGCCAGAGCTTGGTGACTATCACCTGTGAGATTGCCTCTATATCACAAAATCCCGTCTCCGATCTAAAGTGTCATGATTTTTAGAGTTACGCTAGGACACATAATGTAAATTTAATAATTACATAATTAATTCTCACATAATGAAAACCTCATGTGAATGTGTCACACATTTACATACGGTTTTCATCGAACAAGTTGTAAACAACTCGATTTACTCGCTAGTGTGGCAGGACTGAGTGCTCCAGCATTCATAATATTTTGATAGAATTACTCTAGCGATGCAGTTGGGCCTCTCAGCGGCTATCGCTTGATTCAATTGAGTCTGATAAACCGACACAGTGTGTGTTGGTAGGGCGGTGATCGATAAAGAGCTCTCCAAAAGAAGTTATACATAAATCCAAGGACTTCTCCTCACGACAGGCATTCTTAGGTTCGGATCAATTCACTACAATCTAAGGCCATATAGTAAGCTCGCTGCCAGACCACCCACCGAGTGCTCCTCGTAACCTCATATTCTCCTCTTCCAGAGGCGGACATAACAAGCAGGGAGGAGGAGGTGCACCTCGAAAGGCCAATAACGGGTATTCCCCCTAGCCTTTCACCAAGCTCCAATGAGTACCTCTATCCGAGACCCATCTCCCTACCCCTCTCGATACCCTCAAGCTTCGCAGCTTCATCCTGTACGACATTGAGTATGAGAGACAAGGCCCAAGACCTCACTGAGTTCCCTCTGATATCATCTCTGCCACTGCCTGGCAGCTACTCGTACACAACAACACCGCCGTCCGCTCAGTTTGAGCACTCCCGTCGTTGGTCGACAACTCAACCGTTTGCGATGGTACGTCTTGGAGCACTAAAGGTAGCATATATCACCACTTGCCATACCACTCGGTCACTACTTCCACATCTCTCAATCGGCCTAGCAGTCAGCTGTGAGTTAGCCTCAGCCAGTCGAGCCGCAACCTCTACATATCTACGGTAGAGCACTCGCTGCGGCATGCAACTAAAGTGTTGGAGGAGGAATGTATGTACGCTTTCCTCAGCTCAGCTCAGGAGTTTACTCAGTATTCATAAAAAGTTACATACGAATTCAGATGGAAGTGTACAGAAACCAATACGAATTTTCATATTCTCATCAACACACGTAGTTGACCATGTGCATATACAGTCAGCCTGGATGAGTATGAGCTCATTATCACAAATAATCATAGCCGCTGAGCACGATGCGGCACACTTCACTACGCTAGTGAGTCACAAGAGCATTCAAACTGTACCCCAGCCCTTGATGAACCCACTTGCGATGCATATTCCTCTGCTGCTCAGCCATGACTTCGATCCTCTTGAGCACAGCATCATATCGACGTGTATGCTCCTGTCCTTCTCCATCGACCTCTTCAGCGACTATACACTCACCTCTACTCGTGCCTCTACTAGACGCTCTATCTCCTTATCTTGGTCGATTCCCCTCGCAGTTCCCTCACACTCCTTCGGACGCTCCTTCTCCTCGACCAGACCTTGCTGTTCTAAGACCCCCACAATAGGAGCCCCTTACCCCAAGGGGCTGCCTACCAAATGCTGGTGGCTTCCTGGTCAGATCTCTCACCATAGCACCGCATGCAGTGAGCAGAAGCCTTAGGTCAGCGGAAGACATACCACCACCAGCAGCAGGAGGAGGAGGCCGCCCCTTCTCCACAACACTGACAGCCGAAAGAGAGGGAGCAGGCGGATCTGAATGCTCACCTTCTGACTTGCTCTTGAATCTTAGTCAGCACTCTCAGCAGGGCCTGTCCAGTCGGCTCGTTGCTAGCGGACGATGTAGACCCCTGTAGTAGAAGGATAACCTAAATTCACAAACTCTTCACCAGCCTACCAGCCGCCAACCTGTCGTTGAGCCGCTATTATTCTCTTCAGTTTCTTCTTATCAGCTCTCGACCCCACCATCGGGGCTGCCTCGCTACCCTCCTCTTCCTCCGACCGACCCTCAGCATCCCTTCGCTCTACCCTGAAGGCAGCACTCGACAATGATAAGAAACTTATAGCAGATATACAGATAAGCATTCACTGAGTGAGACCCTCGATAACAAAAGAGTTAAAAACTAAAGTTGCCTCAATTGCGGCTCTTCCCAGACCACCCCCAGCAGCAGGAGCCTTGAGGAACATCTACCAACCCAAACTGCTAAGCCATGATGGCTGTACATATACTATGAACGACTCGATACCCATCTCACCTAGCTAGCTCAGCACAGACACTCCCAAGAGCCATCAATGCATCGCTACCATGACCCTCCGACGCTGCCGCTTGCATGCACAGCGCCAACCTCCTGAAGAAGGACTACGACCGCCGAACCAGAGAGACGCCTACTTCCGTTGTTGCTCCAATTGCAGCTTTACTCTTGAAGTCTCGGCAGTATGCCCTTCTATAGAAGCTAACGAAACCTACAGAAACAAACTCCTCCAACACTACTGTAGTAACCCACTAGCCGTACAGCTCGCTCCGCCTCAAGCTTGTCCTTCAACTCTTGCACCTCCTTCTCTAGAGTCAGCCTGAGGCTAGCCAACTCCTCCTTATGACGGGCCTAAGGAGAGCCCAAGAAGTAACGAATCGTTACTAACGATCACCTGCCGAATATGTACCACTTATACATGCATATTATGAGTTTAAGTGGTCCGATAAAGTATCGGACCACCAATACAAACTTATGATCTCTTCATTCACTATGTTGTTACCTCCAAACTTTCAGATTGAGAAATATAAATTCATTTATAACCCAGAAGATCAGCTTGAAGATTAATATACTCAGAATGTCAATGAGATGCTGTTCTTGATTACGTGTGGCGGTGATTGTGAAAAAATCCTGAGGAAATTTCAGGAAAATCTCACTTGTTGCTTCTACCCAAATTTGCAAGTGAATTTGTATGATTAGTGTGAAACTTCCTGAACTTCGCTGAGGAAAGCAAATATGTATTCCAACAGTAGTTAGAAACATGAGCACACTACGGAGGCGAAGCGAAGCGGTGGAGGGCTCAGACGTGGTGCCCCAGACCGTTACACCACCTACCGTCATTTTCCTGCATTCACCCTCCACACGCGCGGTGATGAGCATCTCCTCCACCTCCTCAGATGCTGCTGTTGTCACCTTCAACGGCTCCTTCGGTGCGGTCTCCCCACCCACTTCAGTGCTGTTGATGCTTGCCAAGTTCATCTGATGAACACCGGTCAGGCTCCCACCAAGATGGATCTGCTTGCTTCTATTGACGATAACTTAACGAGAACCTGACTAATTCTATCGTCATCCTTCTGCTCAGCATTCGAGTCGTCGACCTCGTCGTGAACGTGGAACCTAGTAACACCAATACCACTCTCCGTCCGATTCCTTCGCGTCGTATACAAGAAGGTTTCGAATTGAGAATGGCCACACCACTTTCGTGTCGGATGACTCTATCAGAGCCACAAGAGACCACGCAAGAGATAGCGTGATGTTGAACTACTCAGCAATACGACATGTTAGCATAGACAACCGTGAAATGAAGCGTAATCAGTAATTCCGTTTGCAACATTAAGACTTATATATTCTCTGCTATCGAATGACCATGTCGGTAGTGTCGGACCCCTACAAGGTCCATACCTCTCCTTCTCCACCTTATCCCTCAACCTGCTGTTCTCCATCTGTAATGAGTCGATGCGCCTACAGCACACTGCACTAGCATAGCTCGCCACCCTTACCTGCTATACTCCAACAGCCGCTCTGTAATGCCCTCAATGGCCGCCTTATACACCCCTTCAGCGTCCCCACCTTCTACCGTTACTGAGGCAACCAACATTCGAAAATACTATTTTCAGCCGACAGGACCACCTCCTGGAGAGATCGGCTTTTCCACAGCTGGCGGTTCTCTGACGATCTCATTGCTCAGTAAGTCCACTCCTGTAGTCAACCGTGCCGTACTCGCCTTCACAGCTGCTGCGAGTTGCCCTCGACACTGTTGCCAGCCTAGACGCATACTCCTCGAGTTAGTTGTGACAACCCACCCTCAAGAGCCTTCCCCAGAGCTTCCCGCAGCAACCTGTTGGTGTCTCCCATGCGCTTCCACCTCACTCCCCCTAGTGCGACTGCTCCACCGTGTTCACCCCTCTCGACCACAGCCATCAATGCCTCCTCACTGCAACGCCACTTCCTCCACCACCTACTCATCATCACCGTCTTCTTCGCTCCGCCCCTCAACTGCCACTTTACCCCTCAAGAAGAGCCTGCAAACGCTGGCCCTTAGCTTCCTCTATCCACAACCTCTCTGCTGTAGCCACTAGCAGCTCTCCCACGTCGAAGCCATCCTCAGGTACCTTCTTCCGTACCTTGTCGAGTACCTCTTCAAGTGCTGCAGGTGGTGTGAACTGAGAGATGAGGATCAGTAGATCCCCACCGATGCTGAGGTGTACTTCAGGAAGACTCTGTGATATAGCCTGCAGACTCTTCTCGAACGATCCTATCTGGGCCAACAACCGCTCCACTTGGCTCTTGTGTAGGCGAGTAGCCTCAGCCATCTGATACATGGACAGTTCAACAACCCATCCACCGCCCCTCTCCTTCAATAAGACTTCTATTACAAAATTAATGTTTTACACAAAAACACTTCTTAAGATTTTCCGAGCTGCTCAACCCCCCTCGCCCTACATGAGCCTTCAACCTCTCATTAGCCTCCTCTACTGTAGCCAGCCTCGGATCGTATTTACCCATCGCTACTTCCTATGATCATACCATTACAGAGGACCGCACGAATACCCACCTCAGCAACACTGCTAATTTGAGTTCCCTTCACGTGCTGCAAACTCGCCGCCCTTTGCTGCTCCGTTGATTTAAACTGACCCTGGACCCGTGTGAGGGCGTCTTGGAGCCGTCGCCCTACCGATGAGACCACAATCGCCGCCGCCTCCCTCAATGTGCTATGATGGTGTTGATATTTATTCTTGCGTATTCATATAGTTGATATCTCACCGCGTGCTAGTGCTACCCTAACTTACCATATACTCATAATTTTAGAACTAAATTGGAGACTGAGCGTTCTCAACGACTCTGTGTGGGTTGAGTTGTGATGATTAATACTATTCACTACAGTGTTAGTTCGGGAAGCTCTCCCTTCCTATCACAGTCCTATTCACTACAGTGTTAGTTCGGGAAGCTCTCCCTTCCTATCACAGTCCTATTCACTACAGTGTTAGTTCGGGAAGCTCTCCCTTCCTATCACAGTCCTATTCACTACAGTGTTAGTTCGGGAAGCTCTCCCTTCCTATCACAGTCCTATTCACTACAGTGTTAGTTCGGAAAGCTCTCCCTTCCTATCACAGTCCTATTCACTACAGTGTTAGTTCGGGAAGCTCTCCCTTCCTATCACAGTCCTATTCACTACAGTGTTAGTTCGGGAAGCTCTCCCTTCCTATCACAGTCCTATTCACTACAGTGTTAGTTCCAGAAGCTCTCCCTTCCTATCACAGTCCTATTCACTACAGTGTTAGTTCCAGAAGCTCTCCCTTCCTATCACAGTCCTATTCACTACAGTGTTAGTTCGGGAAGCTCTCCCTTCCTATCACAGTCCTATTCACTACAGTGTTAGTTCGGGAAGCTCTCCCTTCCTATCACAGTCCTATTCACTACAGTGTTAGTTCGGGAAGCTCTCCCTTCCTATCACAGTCCTATTCACTACAGTGTTAGTTCGGGAAGCTCTCCCTTCCTATCACAGTCCTATTCACTACAGTGTTAGTTCGGAAAGCTCTCCCTTCCTATCACAGTCCTATTCACTACAGTGTTAGTTCGGGAAGCTCTCCCTTCCTATCACATTCCTATTCACTACAGTGTTAGTTCGGGAAGCTCTTCCTTCCTATCACAGTCCTATTCACTACAGTGTTAGTTCGGGAAGCTCTCCCTTCCTATCACATTCCTATTCACTACAGTGTTAGTTCGGGAAGCTCTACCTCCCTACGAGTTGTTTATCGCCCCCTTACCTACGACCACGCTCCCTCCATTCAAGACTATCCCCTCTCATGAGCGCCAAACAGTCTTCACATGATCGATAAACGCTCGAGAGACGATTGGGTAAAAACGTGAGGCAATCGGAGGATTTCACACAGTAGATCAAGCCGATCCCCTAATCCTCCTCATCCTCACTTCTCCTTTCTGAGGCCTCCAAGGCAATGGCCTGGCGCTGAGCCCGCACTCTAGCGTCGTACTCGAAGCGGACTAGAGTCAGGACTTTAGCCGTCAGCTGTTCAACTCGTCTCACAAGCAACGCCTCGTCTCCCCTGATCAAAGAGCACCGGTCCTGTTTGGGACCTATTCCGTATCTTGCAACGCCGAACCAGAGGATTCTCGCCTCCCAATTGCCTTACTGCGACGCTCCGTCCCCCGTAATAGCCGACAAACTTCTCTTTACTTCTTCGACTTCAGCTTGTCTGAGCCCCGAGTCCATTCCAATACCACTCCTCCCCCAACTCCCACCTCTGCTCCAGCCGCCCCTCCAACTCCTCCTTC